AACCAGAACAGGCTAGACAAGAGACCTTGAACGACCTCTTTGTAAGCTACACCTTACCAATTTTCTTTTTAATAATGAAATTAATACAAATTTTACTAACATCTTTATTACTTTACTTAAAATCATTTAGACCATGTGCACATTAATATTCTACACTATATAATTTTATAAAAGAACAAAAATAACATAGTACTACTTGGTTTTGAATATATTTATATGTAATTTCCACCCTCATTTACATAATTAATGTTCCCCCCGTTGACATACATCAAACAATAAATTGAACATTAAAAAATAAAATACAACTATAATAACTTCATCCAAGATTTGAATCAAATTGAAAGTAAAATGTAGTTTGGGTACTATTGTATAACACAAAATTGTCTCCGAGATCACAGCTAATGTCAAGCAACCTCAACATTTCAAAAATTCAAATCAGCTAATTCGATCAAGCTTCAATAAGAGCTTTACCAGATTTGAGCAAGCTTAGCAAAACTCTGTCATTAGAAAATCTAAGGCCCACAACAAGTAGCTCCATTTCATAAAACACAAGCTCGCTCCAATGATTAATTTACAAAATCAATTCAAGAAAATCTATAACTCAACCTTAAGGTTAATCCGAGTTTGAAACTTAAGCCAAGGAAACCTAGCTTAGTCAGCATTTGGCCCTACTAAAGTCAGCCTTGTGACAAAAACCTACTAAAGGTTTACACCAAATACTTTAGTAACAACAGATAGGGCTTTGTTATTGTATAAACATGTAACAACATGTGCCTTGCTAAAATAATTTTAACTAGATGTTCATAAACACCAAAACCTATATTAGAGACATTCAATCATTTAGATTTTTAATGCCATTATTTTATACAAAATAAACAAAATCTACTGCCTTGGCATTCTGCCAAAATGATAACTTTTGTCACACACTCTTGCTTGTAGCAACTTGTTCTATCCTATGCCCTCTTTTACAATGTAAACAATAACATCTCATATCATGCTTTGCAGCAACTGTTTTATAACTCTAAATTTAAGGAAGCATATCAACAAAGTATTTAGATGCTACATTTGAAATTAATCATCAAATAATTGAGCTGAAAGTCAAAAAAATTGACCAACATTTTTATTTGATGACATATCAAATTTCCCAAACCAATCTAATATAATGGTAAATCACAAAGTGTGATTAGCCATTATATGGAAGCGTCCACAAAAGCCCATCAAGTTGACTACGAAGTTGAAGGAACAAAATTCCCTCAACTTTTATTTCTCTAAAGAGATATTACTACATAAATCAAATCTAGCACCTCAATTAAAATGAACTGCGTCAGATAGAATACCCAAGAAACATGTATATTATCTAGAAAAAACTCTTCTCGGGCATTAGCTTAACTCTGTCTCAGCCTCTTAAGAAGAGAAAACATACACCCTATACAGTTTTTAGTAATCAATGAATTGTTTATTGATATATAAGTACATCTTAAACAAGATTAGGCAACAAAGTCGCTCAAGTAATCAAACCCGTCGTCATGAAATCACTTTTTTCTTCACAAACCACTCAAAATCCAAATCCAGATGGAATTAAGGGGATACCATTAAGAATTCCAACTCAAATAATAATGTGATAAAATGCAACATTGGGGTATGTTTATTTATTCTATCTTATCCTCCACCATAACACCAATTCACCGAACCATAAGGCTGAAACAATATTTGCAACAAACAGCCCAAGTATTTATAAAGAGTGAAAACAACTGAAATAACAAAAAGCAATAGCAAGATAAAGGAGAAAGACTTGTCCGAAGCCTCAAAATTGATTGCAAGAAAAGAATCCCAAGCCGTTCGCAGGACCATGATATCAGAAAATTATCTTCTACAATAAATGAAAAAACAAAAGAAGCATTTTTTATAGTTCAACAAGTACCCTAAATCCCCTTCATTAAACTATGGCTACCAAAAATCTTCTTATATCTTCAAATCTTTACAACGATATAGCAGATGCTAAAACCCCATAAAACTTTACAAAACACTAACTCTGTTCCTAAGCTTTGCCCAGCCAGCTTTAAACCGCATTGATTCTTCGATTGCGATCATTGCAAGGTCAGATTAAAACCCGGTTGAACCTCACATACATACAAGAATCCGAAGACAGATATAATCATTGCAACGTTACAATAAAAGCCAAGTGATCCAGCTCACTACAATCATAACCAGGTATATTATATAATAAACAGAGAAATTCATCAATTTGATAATTTCACTAATCAACAACCTTAAACAAATTAACCCTTTATTTATTCATTATAATATAATTATTCACAAACAAATAAATAAAAAACCAAGAATTCCAACTTTCCCACTTCACAGTATCACCTCCCCACTTCCAAAATCAACATCAAACGTCCAAAAATCCTCACAAAACAAACTTCACAATAAACAAAATCAAAAACTCAAATTCAAATTAAAAAAAAAAATGAAAAAGAAAAAAAAACCTGGATTCTTGAGTTTCGAGAAGAGAAGCAAGAGCATGAAGAGCTTTAGGATTAGGGTTATCAGGAGAAGAAGTAATCATTTCCATAAACTTCTGAGCTTTCAAACCTAACCCATCATCCTCCTCATCCTCTTCATCATCATCTTCTACATCTTCGCCGGCGCCGGAACCCTCGGGAATCTCCGGCGGCGGCGGCGGTGGAGGTGACGGAGGAGGTTGCGATTGAGATTGCGAAGAAGGAGGTTGTTGCTGGTGTTGTTCTTCCATGGATGACGTAGTCGGTTCCTCCATTAACGGATAGCTGAGAGAAATACGTTGAGAAGGAGTTTCTCTTTCTCTCTCCTAATTATATTATTTGGTCGCGTCTATGTTTTGTGTGTGTGTCGCAGTGAAATATGTTTAGGGATGGAGAGAGAGATGGGAATTTGGAATGCTTGGGATTGGGTTTTCGGGTCGGGTTTTTTGTGTTTGGGTTTGGACTTTTTTTTGGCTACTAGTTGGTTTTTTCTACTTTTGGAATGTTCTAGGAGTTCTTTTCACAAAAGTGTCCAATTTTTTTTTATTGTTATTACATTGTTAAAAGATAGAGATGAATTATTAAAAATTAAAAAAGAAAAATTCAATGAAAAATTGATAAGTTAGCTAAAACTGATAAGGTGCTAAATGAAATAAAAATGTTATTTGAAACTTAATATTTACCTAAAATATTAACTGCAACCTTGAATCTGTCAATTTTCTAATACAACGACAGTACCAATTGGCGTTAAGATCATTGCAATTGTTGTATATATTAGGTGATACAACTCATGTAATCTCAACAAATAATATAGGTATAAATATAATTATTTTATTTTTAAAAAGTACTCTCTAACGTACTTCCCAAAACCCAATTCCAAATGTTTTTCGTAAAAACAAACTAAATACGATCGAAAATGCCCTTATTTTAAAAACAAACGAAAGTAAGAATCATAAACACCTAAATTGTTTCAAGGTCCCTAAACCTCCAAATTACAAACATTAATTTCACAAATTATGTACACTAATTTCGATATTCTATGAACTAAATACCTTAAAATTGGATAAACCATAATATTCCAAGTATTACAAATCTTATTACCTCAAATTTATATACATGAGATTTGTAATTGCAAATCAATGAATTCTTAATTAGGTTTTGACTTAAATTACCAAAAATAAGGATTATCAACTGTAAAAAAAAAAAAAAAAAAAATGACCCGCAAATGGATTTTTTTTTTTTTTTAGGAAGTCCCAGTTTATCTCTTGATAAACAAAATTTACTTATCAATCGGCAAAATCGTAAATAAATCAACAAAATTGTCTAGTCAGCATGACGTTTTGACAAATAAATCCCAAAAATGTGGATCCATAACAAATAAAAATTGTTGATTTATTTACATTTTTGCCATTTGATAAACATATTTTGTTTATCAAGAAGATAAACTTGTATTTTCTCTTTTTTAGAGGAAAGTGGATAATTGTTACCTAAACATACCTTCATTCTCAACAGTCCGAACCACTAATTATTCATTTTTTATCAATCTTTTGAAACAAATTTTTTAAAAAAGTTAGTATTATATTCCTTCAAATTTCATTCCCAAGTTACCAAATGCTCATAAACTAGAATCGAGCAGTTGGCTTGCCACAAAAGTCGACTTAGTTTGGAGAGTTTTTTTGGGCCTGAATATTGGGCTTGGATCGATTTGACCCATTTCTTTGGGTTTCGAGAGCATCCTACTAATAGCTTCATCCATTTTTTTACGCATCATTTTTAAATTAACAACTCCTACACAAATTTTTGGAGATAAGAGAAGTAGTGAGAAAGAAAAAAAGAAGACCCGTGTTATATGAGAGAAATCGAGAAAAGTTTTTAGCTATTAAGGAAAATGATGTATCTAAATTGAAACTTTCATAAACTTCCTTTGTTACATATTAGTTGCAACTTTTGAATTTTTTATATCTCACAAATATTCCAAGTTGCATTTAATATATAACGGTGAAAGTATAAAAAATACTCTCTCCATCCTAGCATATATGGGACATTGTACTTTTTTCACTATTCATATATTAGCTTTGACCATAATTTTTTACTAACATATTAAAAGCATATTTTATCATAAAATATGTTGTTAGATAGATATTAATATAAAGTTGCATAATATATTTTAAAAATAATTTTCATTAATATTTAAATATATAAAAATTAAGTTAGTAAATTAAAATGTGTGCAATATTAACTGTGTTAGATAATCGGGACGGAGGAAATAATACATCTATAAATAAAAAAGAGGAAATATAGTTATAATTTTGGTCCAATCCAAAAATGACCCAAAAAATTCTCTTTTCAGCCCCGAAAGAGTGGGTTTAGGGAAAAATGTAGGCCCAAAATGGGTCAGCTTTTTGTTTTTTTGGGAGCCCGGCCCGGCACAAGATGGTCTACCAAATAGACAAACAAAAGCCCCAAACATTAAACAAAATTCCAATTTGGCTTGAATTTGTTGCTATGAACTGTTCAAAATTACATGCCCAAATTTGATTTCCGCTATAATCCATTGAATTCTAATTGAATGTATCAAGTTTGTTTTACTGAAGGCATGGAACAAAGTAGTTCCTCATCATCTAATCATCAACACCATTGGATTGAGTATGTTCTTTAATTCTCAACTTCTGCACCTTTTTTCCTTGATGGGTATTTTAAATTTAGCAATTTTCTAATATTTCAATTTCTGGGTATTACATTTCAGGGTTCAAGATGAACTCAAAAAGAAATTAATAAAAGAAGATGGTTTTTCATGGGAAATTCCATCATCTTCATCTTCAGTGGAATTGGAAATGGGTGATGGAGGAGAGAGAAAAGAGGAGTTGAAGTATGTTGGAGGGGTTGACATTAGCTTCCTGAAGGAAGATCCTTCTGTTGCTTGTGGGACCCTTGTGGTTTTGGAACTTGACTCGTTGAATGTTGTCTATGACGATTTCTCTGTTGCCAAACTTCACATCCCCTATGTTCCGGGTTTCCTTGCTTTTAGAGAGGTTTGTGGTCGTGTTCGGTCTTTTATACAACGGGTGTATTTAATTTCGTACTCCGTATCTAATTAAAAGTCCCCTCTTTGCCAAACTGATTTGTGTTTGTGATTGGATTGACTAAGAGCATTGTATATTTGTATATTTGTATACAATACACGTATTGCACATAGTATGTTTTTTGTTGGTAATTTGTTCAACTTCCAGTGCAAAATTGTTGTTTGAAACATTTGAGCATTTGTTGGGTGCTATATGAATTTGTTTAATTTCTATTGCAGGCTCCTATTCTTCTGAAGCTTTTGGACAAAATGAAGAAAAATGCTCACTCATTCTATCCTCAGGTACTGGTGTAATGTAGTTCTTTGATCTAAACATGATTGTTAATTATATTTATTAGTTAGTTTTATTATGAATGTTCTCTATCCTTCAATTATGTGAGAGTGACTGAAAATATGTTAGGGAGAGATAACATAAACTAGGAGAATGGATTTTGTTTTACTAAGAAAAGATGTACTAGAATGGGCATATATTTGAAGTCTATACTTGGTTGGCATTGATATGGAAAATGCATATGAGGAACTCACTATAGTTGATTTGTGGTCGTTCTGCTTACCTGTTTTTTTCATATATTACAAACCTGTGTGGGTACCTTTGGCTGTTGTGAACTGGTGATATTCATCACTTTCCATAACTTATATCAAGGATAAGCCTTGTTTTGGTGAATTATGCAAAAGCAATTAAGAAGTATTAATGAAATGTTTTTTTAATTACTTTAAAGGGATACATTGGAGTATAAGGGCTTCCAGTTAGTAGAGTTATGTTGGAGATTAGATAAAATTTAACTTTATGGATATGAGTATCGTTGGGACTCTGTGACTTGGATTGAGATGGATGTTGCCGAATTTGATTGTTTTCAAATGTTTATAAACATGTGTTTTAACCAATGAGCTGCGTTTGTGAACTAGTGATGGCTTCTAAAATCTTCACTACCACTAGCTTGTTTTCCTTGTACACAAGTAACAGAACATTATAGTGTACTTAATTTAAATTTGATATACTGCAATTCATCTCTCCAATCACATTCCTGCTGATGCTCACTAGTCATAACCTACAAAGCTTCAAAGCCTCTCTCTCTATTGCTTCCTCTCCTTGTCCTAGTTTAACTATTTTGTCCCCCTCTCATTTAACATTGTACTGTTTCTATCCAAATAAATCCTGCCTTTTTCACTGTATTGACGTTATACACTTTGTTGACAGCTACTGATGGTTGATGGCAATGGAATTCTTCATCCCCGAGGCAGGTTTTCCTAGATCACTCACAAACATGCATATACAATTGCAATAATTAAATTAGTCATCTTCTATCTGAATTAATATTACTGTAGAGCAGCATCTGCATGTTCTACTGCATCAGTTTGACCATTGCGAACAGGATCATGGTAATTCGTAAATAGGTCAGAGCCTCATAAACATTGTTTTGAAATTAGCATTACTGGTTCCTGTCATGTTTCTGACTATTCCTATATTTTGCTTGAACCTGAAAGCTCATCGATTAATTCCTTTTGGTCCTTGATACTCTAAATGTCATGTTTGTTACAGCCTACAAGTACATATTATATTGCTTGAATTTGTTGTGACTACTATGCATGGTACTAGTACTTGAGGATGTCCAGTCCCGAGATTTGTTTATTATTGATACGATAGTTTCTTAAACCTATATTTTTTTCTTACCTGGCTTTGGAAGTTAAATGTGTCAGGAAAGATTATAAAACTTGAATAGGCTATTGGGTTCTGAATTGCTTTATTCCTCCACCCACAGTTACATTCAATACTTGTATTTTTTATCCCATCATGAGAGAACCATGCCTGGCTTTAATTTATTTCCTTATGGTTATAATAACAAGTTCTGTTTGTCAATGATGAATTGATGGGTGGTGTTTTTATTCTCTGAATCAATTGAATCAGGTTATAGAGTATTCATCAATTGCTCCAGTGTTTTTATCCTTTTGAATGTTTGTAGTAACAAACTAACAATATAAGAAGATAAGTGAAGTTTTATTTTGAGAAGTTTTAAATGAAGTTCTTTTCTAGAAGATGGAACTTTAGACAAAAAGTGGCTCTTGAAAGGAAAGAGTTGAATTGAAAAAAAAAAAAAAAAGAAAAAAAAAAAAAAGAAAAGAAAAAATCATTTTGGAAGGCATGCATTAGAGATAGAGTGTAAAAAAAGAAAGAAGTGACTATATACTTACTTGCACACCAAGTAGGAAAAAAAAAAAAAAAAAATCTATGTGGTGGAAATTATGATATCATGTCCTGGTTAAAGATTTCCTGTTATACAGGGTTAAACCCAAGCACACAGCTCTGGTTAATGCAAATAGATTATCTTAAATAATTCCTCTAATTAATGAACCAACTGTAGGAACTGTTAATCTCAATAGAAAAATTGTAATAATACCTCCTTAATTAAGACAGTTCTTCTAGATGAAAGCCCTTAAGTATTACAGGATTTCTTTATAAAAACCTTATACTATAAGAGATGCATAATATCTGTCTTATTTGTCCTGTGTATGATGTGATGATCATTAAGGGATTCTGATTGAAAACTTTTTGTGGCTGCCTCTGCTTGCTGGAGTATGTTTGATTCTGGTGGCCTGCAGCAATAGAGGTTAAGGTGAGAATATAATTTTTTTTTGTGAAGGGCTTGGAGCTTGGTGACTTTTGGTCAACTTTAAGACTTGATTCCAATTAACAAACATCTACGTGATTCTACTTTAGTTGACTACTTCAAACATATTGTTCTTAAGGTTAGGATCCGGTGAGAAGCATGCTTAAGGTGAGAAGTGTGAGAAGCCCATGTATATATATGGGGTTAGGATCCGGTGAGAAGCATGCTTAAGGTGAGAAGTGCGAGAAGCCCATGTACATTGTAAATACACTGGAGATACATTGATGGCATACTACAGATACATTAGAAATACTTTAAAAATACATCAATTCCCTTTCCTTTTAAAAATGGATCTGGGCAATTAAATGTAGTCCACCTTTTTTCTAAATCAAAGTGCACCATTTTTTTTTGTTATTTTATCGAATCAAACCTCCATTATCGCAATCTTGCACACTACCTTAGCTCTACAATTACTAATACATTGAGAAACCAAGATAGATACATCAACTAATACATTCAAATACATCAAGTTCTATTTATAGATAATAGATACATTAATTAATAATTAAGATTAATTAAACAAAATTCAGCTAATATGTTACTCCGTACAACAATCGAAGAGTTGAAGAAAAACATAACAATCTAAGCTTGAAATTTGTTGTGCCGATCGATTTATCGTCAATAATATCACAAAGATAAGTTTAATTGATGCTAGAGGAGAAGAAATAGATGAATTTGCGAACGAATTTCCAACGATTAATTAATATGGAGCTGTCAATTTCATTGCCGCCGTCGAGTTTATGGTGGTAGCAAGAGCTTGATGTCGAGAACGAACTAGAGCATGTTCAGATATGCTTGCTGAAGGAGTAATAATTGAAGAAACAATAGAAGTAGAGATACTTTTAATCTTGACCGTAGGATCCTATATCTAAGGGTCAATGTTACTTCTCACCCTTCTCACATGAGCCTAAGTATATATATATATATACTCTATGCCATATGAAAGGAGAAACAGAGCTTAGGGTCTTAGCTGCTCGTATTGTGTGAAATTGAGAGCCAATATTTTCTTATGAGACTTTGACAAATATGTCATAATAGTGGCTCAACTTTCTCAAATTTTCAGAGCCGTATTTTCAAGAATTCTTATATACTGAGCAGTGGCACTCTGGACTCTGGACTCTGGCTTTTAGCTTATTTATTATCAATGATCTGAGAAAGATGTTTTTATTTATTTATTTATTTATTTATTTTATTTTGAAAAAGCTGCAAGTATGCGGTGTTCCCTAATTTTGAAACAGAAGTAGAATATGCTAGTGCAAAATACATTTTTTATTCATGTATTTGGATGTAGCTTTGCTGCTGAAGGCTAGATATTTATTCTGAAATGTTACTCTACAGGTTTTGGATTGGCTTGTCACCTTGGAGTTATGGCTGATCTTCCTACAATCGGAATAGGAAAAAATGTGAGTTCTGTCTGTATATTGCTGCATGAATCCATTTTTGATTTTATTGCTAAAAGTTTTAATACTTACATCTGCTCATTCTGGTAACTCTAATATTCTGTTAGAGATTTTAACACTTTCTGGTTTTAACTATCCCCAAAAAAGTGTTCCACTTAATGGCCTTTTGTTTGATAGGTTCTCATGCCAGCTTTTGACAGCTTTGTCAAAAGCTTCTCTTTCAAAGGTTTACCATGACATATAGTGATATTTTACGGAATTGGTCATATACCTGCTCATCATATGTGATACTTTGTGTATCGTAGATTTGTTAATTGTGGCAATAATCCATCTTTTGTCATGGATGATTCCATGCATTGCTGCATATGTGTTTTTAGGAGTTGGCAATCTTGTGATTCAAATAAAAGATGCTCACTTTGTCTAATCTTTAATGCAGTTACATCACGTTGAGGGTTTAAATCATTCAGAGGTCAGAGACCTTTTTAAGACCGGTGATTATAATGAAACAGTTTATTTGAATGGAAACTCTGGACAGACGTTGGGTGTGGTAAGTAAGCAACATACACTGAAGCTTACATCTTTTCAGTTAGTTGTCATAGCTCATTTTATGAAATTCTCTCTCTCTCTCTCTCTTTTTTTTTTTTAAATATAAAGGGCGAGTTTTGATGGATGTGGAGGGAGTAATTTGATTGATTCTCCTTCAGCTCCACATTTTGATTAGAAATCACAATGTCTTGCTTTCATGCTTCCAAAATTTAATGTCGATGTCGCCGGAATTTTGTGAGTTCTGCTCTCTAATATCTCTAGATAAGTCATTTGTTGAAGCTGCATTGATCTATGGGGCTGGTCAAGTGTAAGCATTACTCAAAATTTCTGTATACAGGAAAAGTAGATGAGTAGGGTAAGTGGCAGTCAGGTCATGCCATCTCTTGCCAGTTTACTAGCTGTGCTGTGGTAGGAAAATGATTAAATTTGAAGTATAAAAGCTTCATATCTTGTAACTTTTCGTGGAAAATTGAGTTGTTCGAGGTCAACTGTTCAACACCCGTTTCTTATTGATCCCTTGGCTGAAATGTAGTTCCAGATTGACATGTCTTAAAATTTAGGTCTTGACTATTTGTTGCAGGCTATGAGATCCACTTTGGGTGCTTTGAAGCCTATATATATTTCAATCGGTCATCGAATTTCACTTACTACGGCAATGAAGGTTGTAAAATTGACTTGCAAGTACCGTGTGCCGGAGCCAATCAGGCAGGTAATACTTGCTTATTCCGTGCTCACAGTCACATGTATGGGTTGTGTCACTTCTACTTTTCCTTGTTCTATGTGAAAATTGCTTGTCTATTTACAAAAGTATTGAGGAATGAGGACTTAGAATTGATGTAGATAGCTGTTGTTACATTTATGGTGAGGCTTAAGTGAAGTTGTTGAACCACTTAAATCATTCACAAATTAAGTACTTCACAGAGATTACAACTTATAAGTGAGTCAGTGCTAATTGCTGATAAGGACTTAAAAGAGTAGGTTGATGGGTTTCTTTCATAGTTACATCGACTTATATTCATGTGTAATTTTCCTTTGCAGTAGGTTATTTGTCACTGCTGTTTTCTACTTTTACCGTTTACTAGAACCCTTAACTGCTTTTGAATGGGAATTTCAATATTTTAGCCTTCATTATGTAACTGACTAAAGATCAATAAGAAAAAGAAGTTACACCTTTCCTTATTCCACAGGCTGATTTAAGGTCAAGAGAGTACCTGCGCAAGCAAACCTCATTGACAAAGACCCCATGTGATCACCCTAGTGAGGGCTAACGATGGAAACCATTGAAGAAAGACCCTGATGTCTCGAAGGCATGTCAGAAAAATGGACCAAGCTCAAGCAGGTATGATCGAGCAGTCCAAACAAATCGATCGACTTGAGAGTGTGGTTGACGAGTTAATGAAAGAAAGAGAAATGCTTTGTAAGTAGTTGAATTGTGCACAAGAGCAAGGTGAGGAAGCACTTGAGAAGTGTGCTGTCCTAATGTGGATGTTGGTGGTTTTGGTGCGGTGAAGATCAAACCTACCAAACTGGCGACTATAGTGGCGCTAAAGACGCAAAAGAGGAGATAACTTCCTCTTTGACGTGGAGCAGTACATCTGAGTGTATCGATTGAGTGACGATCTAAAAGTGGATATTGCAATCATCTACCTATCAGATGATGCCTAGTTCCGGTGGCTCACTAAGCATGCCGACATCAAAGCAGGAAAGATAAAGATTAACACATGGGCACTGGGCAGTGTTAAAGAGGGAACTCGAAGAACGTTTCTGCCCCGTGAACGCATATTTTGCTTTCTAACAAGGTGAATTGGATGTACTTAAAGATCAGTTCCACAAAGTCTCTAACAAGGTGAGTTTTATATGTAATGTCCAAAGGAAAATTAACGTGATTACGTGAATAATCAAAACTTGTACTCCATATAATTTTGCTTAAAACTTGTGTCATTTTGTTTAAAATTTGTGTAATTTTAATTTGTCATTTGTTTTCATTTTTTTTTTGTTTTTTTTTTTTGTTTTGTTTTTTTTTTTTTTTACCCTCTCTCTTTTTTCTGTTTTGTTCTTCCAGTCTATCTTTTCTTTACAGTTGTATCTAAAACTTCAACATAATCATTAGTGAAAAATCCAATTTCCTACATTTTAAAATGAGGTAAAAAGATATATATTGAAAACATTGAATATATATATACAAAAATATAAAACTCTAAAATACTTTGCATATTTATCCGTTGCATATTTTACAGATCATAAACTTCTAATCCCCTCCATACTCGTTTGCTCAAACTGAATATCTTTGGAGAAACCCAAAGAGAGTGAAATTGCCTATGGAGTTGGCAGATCAAATTCCCGAGGGCAAAGGCCAAGATCGGTTGAGCTCATTCCAGATGAAATCCTTACCGAAATCCTCTCTATCTCACCTTCCAATCAATGAAGGAAATGTCCATCGATCAAGTGTAATCACTAATTATAATTAGGACAATATGGAGATTAATTATAATCGGTTATTTTAGGTAATCATAATGTTTTGCTAGAAACCAACTATGATTGGTGAACTAATGCGATTAGTTTAGGGATTTGTTAAACATCGCCCGCAAATTACCATATAAAGCCCACAAATATGACTTGGTATGACGTTTATGCCCATTTTCTAAAATTGAACAAATCTCGATTTAAAAAATGTGGAGCCGTACTGGCTCGCCGGGGGAGACCGGAGGGCAGGCCGCAGATGCGGGGGACGCCGGAGGTACGTCGTCGTCGACGGAAAACGAGGTAAGTCACCATTAAAACTCACGGTTTACCGTAGCAGTGGCTCCGGCGCCTAGGATGGACGCCCTTACCGTAGCATGGACGTCCAAGCCAGACGCCAGAACCACCACACCGACGTCCAGCCCAGACGCCCAGACCACCAGACAGGCGTCCTGGCCAGGCGCCAGTCCATTGGCTGAGGCGGCCCTGCCAGGCGCCAGTCCAGTGGCTGTGGCGGCCCTGGCAGACGCCACCCTTTTTTTTTTGTTTTTTTTTTCTTTTTTGATTTTGTTGTTGTTTTTTTTTATTTATTTTTTTAAAAATCGAAAATGATTTTTTAAAAAAATTCGAAATGGGTTTTTTTAAAATTAAGTTTGAAAATTCGAAATAGGTTTTTTTAAAATTAAGTTTGAAAATTCGAAATGGTATTTTTTTAAATTAAGTTTGAAAATTCGAAATGGGTTTTTTTAAAAATTAAGTTTGATTGTTGAGAAAGGTTTTTTTTTTTAAATTAAGTTTGACAATTCGAAATTGTATTAAAAAAAATTGGAAATGCTTTTTTTTTTTTTTAATTTATTTCATATTGAAAATTCAAAACAGTGTTTTTTTTAAATTATGTTTAATAATTTGATGTTTTTATTTATGTAGTGAGTAGATTTGTGTTAATGTATACCAAAATATTTAATTGTTTATGTGACTTTTATAAATGATTGTGTTTAAAATTTGTATGTGTATGTGTATGAATAATATTATACATAATTATGTTTTTTTTTGTGTTAATTCTGTGTAAATATAGAAATTAAATGTATTATCCGTTAAATGGATTTATTATAATATATATTTGATGCAGGATTATGGTGGAGACGGAAATGATTACAGTGGGATATTTGGACATGATGGTCCATTCGAAGAAGCTCAACAAGCGATTGATTGGGCAAAATAGGTTGCAATTGCAGCTGGATTTTGCTTGGTAGTAGTAACTCATAAATCTCAACGGGATGGTAGAATGGATCGCATTTTGAGATGTGACCGTTATCGCAAAAGAGAAGAAAGAGATTTTCGTACAGCCACTCGGTTTGATACAAAGCGGAAAGGTTGTGGGTGTGAGTTCAGAATAAAGGTTCGACAACTACGGAGTCGTGACGGTTGGGAAGTGATTGGTTAATCTAAATGGGGGTATCACAACCATGAGATGATAGTATATGAAGAGGGTCATCGACAGCTGAGCGGCTTAAGTCCTGTTGCGAAACTAGTTGTGAAAGAAATGAGTGATGCTCAAGTCAAGCCTGCTAAAATATTAGCATTTGTGTTAGAGAAATTTCCAGAAGACCATCCAAACCGAAGACACATCTACAACGTCAGACAGCAACTCAGGTTTGAACGGTCAGAGGGAAGGAACCCTATACAGCAGCTGCTACACCAGGCACAATCACGTGGTTACCTGTTCTGGTTTGATTCTGATGAAGATACAGCGGAGGTGACTCATCTTTTCCTTGTGCATCCTGATTGTGCTGATATGATCAAGTGTTGGCCATTTGTGATTTTGATCGACTCAACGTACAAGACAAACAAGTACAAGTTCCCACTGGTTGAGATCATGGGGATGACTCCAACGAACCAGAACTTTCTGATTGGTCATGCAATCATCAAGGATGAGACGGCTCCAAGTTATTATTGGGTCTTGGAGAAGCTGAGAAATTACATCGGGCCTAATGTTCATCCAGCAGCCATCGTCAGTGACTGTGAGGGAGGTCTCTTTGCCCCCATTAGGGAGTTATTTCCAGAGTCGAAGCACTTGTTGTGCACATGGCACATCAACAACTGCGTGAAAGTGAAAGCCTACAACCTTTTCAACAAGAATTTGGAAATGGCAGAGAGATTGGTGAATGGTAAGTGGCGGAAGATCCTACAGGCTACCACAGAGGAAGTGTACGAGCGAGAATTGGCTAACTTCAGGGATTCGTACCAGTGGTGATGCAGAAATGGGTCCCTCACAGGGAAAAGTTTGTCAAATATTGGACAAACCAGGTACTTCATTTCGGGAACACTACAACATGTAGAGTTGAGAGCGCTCATAGAGCTACCAAGGACTGGATTGATTCATCGACCGCTGCTTTGGATACACTGTTCGATAGACTTAACAAGTCAATTGAAACTCAGAAGAACGGCATCAGGAACTCTCTAGAGGACTCCAGACGACGACATGGTACGATGTATAGCCATTTCATATTTAAGATTCTCCATGGTCGTGTGTCGCACTACTGCTTGGGGTTGATTCTCACTGAGCTGAACAGGATGAGGGACTTGGCTGACGAAGTGTATGCTCGGTGCGGGTGTGCTATTTCAGTAACTCATGGATTACCTTGCGCATGCACCATTCACCGCGTTATTACAGAAGAAAGGGCGTCGTTACATGTTGATCAGGTTCATTCATTCTGGCGGACGCTCGTTATTGGTGAGCATGCAGATACTCAAACGGCCAACTGTGAACATGAGGAGTTGGAGTAGTTTCGTTCGATGTACGACCGAGTGTCCTCCAGTCATCCTTCTATTATTCGTGACGCTACTCATGTACTTCATGACATGTTCCACACGTCTACCTTAGATTTTGAGGAACCCGAAGGAGTTGACCGTCCTCGAGGTCGGCAACGGCGGAACAAGAGTGCGTTTGAGTATATTCGTGGTCTTGGTCGTGGTCGTGCTCGTGGTCGGACATCGTCATCTAGTCGTACTCAATCTTCATCGTCTGTGAATATGCCCCTGAGAACTGGTACGTTTTGGTTTTTTACATTGCACATTGTTTATAAGGTTACTCATGCCTTCTTAACTGTGTTTAATTATATGGTGAATAGGAAGAAACGATGTTGATCAGTTTCCGTACAAGGATAGGATACCTAACATCATCATGCCGTACTTGGAAGGGTGGAATGATGTAGTCGGAGATGGTAACTGCGGATTCCGGGTCGTGGCTGATGTTTTCCAGATGGGCGAAGACAACTACGGTTTGGTGCGTCAGTTGATGTACAGCGAAATTGCCTCTAACCGAAATGTTTATCGTCATGTGTACCAGGATGACTTGGATGGCGCTCTGCGGCGTATCCGGTGGGGAGGTGGACCTTGCGGTCAAAATCATTATTTTGACGCGCCCCTAGATCTGTTTGCCGTTGCAAACATTTACAAGTGCACAGTCATGCATTTCGGGCTGGGATTGCATAGTCAAGCTTATTATCCTTGTACCACGGTTCTCCCTTGGAGTTCGCGTGAGACTGTCACCACACCGGTCAGAGAGGTAGCTATTGCGTTTCTTGGGTCGTCATACAGACATTTCATCCGACTAGACATGTCATCCGATTTTCCAGTGCCACCGATTATACCTCGGTGGTACACCATTCGCACAGCGAGCGTAGAGGGTTGGGATGCGCTATATCATGACCGGATCCACGAATGGAACACCCTAGCTGCATTTTAGTTTTTCATGTTTACATTCTTCCTATATAACCTTATTTGTACGTTGCTCTTTTAATGAGAATATTAATTTTTTATATTGTATTGCTTACTGCATTCTATATGTTGCATGGGTAAGTTGCGCGGATCCACGAACGGTTATGTCAAAATTTAAAAACATCAATGATAATATGTCAAAGTTGAAAGCTAAAACAACAATCTAAAATGTTACAAACTTAAAACATAATGTCCAATTTAATAAATTAAAACGATAATATTTAAAGTGCTTTATAAATAAAATGCCAAAACCATCAGTAATCCCTCCTCGACGCCGACTCCCAATGCGCAAGGGTCTGTTCCAGACTATCAACAGCAGCTCTCACTGTTGCACTCATGCTGTCCTTCTCCAGAGAGAGTTTCTGTACGTCCTGTATTATCTTTCCCATCCACTGCATACAACAAAAAATAAAACATGAAATACAATAACAACATATAAAACTTAATTAAAAAACAACGATAAATATTTTATGAGACATACCGTTTCCATGGCAGTAGGCGGTGGCATATAATCATCATCGCTGTGGTCGAGATCTGCGATCAACCTCGGGTGCGAATACCGGTTGAACCATTCCATGTAGTAGTGGTCACACATGGGAGGAACCCCAGATGGCGGCCTCTGCAACTCCGCAGTCCATAAGCGGGCCACCATCGGAAACTGGTCCCACGTCCCAGTCATGATATCCGGCCAATGCACGACGTAGTCCCTCGACGATGCAGGTCGAACCGCCTTCATC